CATAAGGTTGCAACTTTAAACAATCCAATTAAGGCGTATCTTCAAATTTGATCATAACAAATAATTTGATGTAAAATATTCTTAGGAATATCTCAAAATCTATTTTTATATCTAATTAAGAAATTTTAAACTCCAAAAATGATTAAAATCAAGTAGATCTATAAACATATAAATTTTTTTAAAAGGGTGTGCTTTCCATAAGGTTGCAACCTTAAACAATCCATTTACGATGCACCTTCAAATTTTATCATAACTTATAATTTTGAGATAAAATATTCTTAAGATTATCTCAAAATCTATTTTCATATCTAATTATAAAATTTTAAACTCCAAATATGATTAAAATCACGTAGATCTATAAATATATGAAAATATTGCGAATGGACAGTCTAGATAATGTGTTATAAGATGCATCATTTTTGAGACTCAAAATCCTATTTTTTTTTCATAGTCATTCATTCTTCTCGATATCGAGATGATCAATTAGAGGGTTTTTCAATATTAAAATAACCTTCTCCGATGGATTTTTTAGGTACGTACATTTTAAAGTTGCAACCTTATAATAAACTTTTCCCTTTTAAAAATTGATGTTCTAGATAATGTGTTGTAAGACTTACTATTTTAGGGACTCAAAATTCTTTCATAATCATACATATTGATGTCAAGATGCTCAATTAAAGGGTTTTTCAACATTAAAATTATATTTTCCAATAAATTTTTGAGGTGCATCCGTCGTTATACATTTTAAAGTTGCAACCTTACGTAAACCTTTTCCATATAATTAGTATTATTTATATATAATTATAATATGTTTGAGTTGACGGGTTAGTTCTAACCAGACCCAATAGGATCCAAGTGGGACGTAGGCCCGTCAAGTGGACAAGGCCCAACTTGTCGCATCTATTATTTAGGTCCAGGACCCAGTTACTAACCCCCAAAAAAAATAAAAAAAAGACTACAACCCGGTCAGGTCCGATCCGGCACGTCCTACTTCGACCCGACCCAAGTCCCACCCCAATAGAGGTTGTCCCTGCATCTCCCGCTACTTTCCTTTGATCTCTCTCGCAAAACCCATAACCAGAGCCTTCTCTCTCATCAAGCCCTGTTAATCTCACTGACAAAACCCCTATATCCTCCTCTATCAAAGATTCCTGTGGAGTTCGAAGACTGTGGAAGAAAACCCAATTGATGACAGCCCTTCATATCATACAATCTTTCATTCACCGTTTTGTTAACAAAGGTCAACTCTCTCAGTTCCATCTTCTGCAATCTCTCTCTAACATTTTTTGATTTCTGGATATTAAGAGGAACTGATTCTCATTCTTTTTCCTTAGCCTTGTTATTGCCGTTGTTTTCTTTCAAATTTTCATGCTTTTATGGATCAATTCAGCAAAAGTTGGCAAGCTGTGTATCTGATCATTTTGTGATATTTAATAATAATTTCTCCATTTTCACATCCATTTCTATTGAATTTTAAACCACCCACAATAAATTTTGGCAGTTGCTGTTCACTGAACTCTCGAGTCCCAAGGCAAATAATCAGGAATTGATCTTATGGATCTCATGCCAAATAATCAGGAAGTGATGTTATGGGTTTGTGCATTCTGGTTAGAGAGAGAGAAATCAGGTCAGAGAGAGCCACTGATTCTCGAAACCCCAAATAATGCAAAAGGAAAGTTAGATTGATAAAATTTTGATTTGAATTTTGAAATCCCATGAGCCATATCTCTGTTCCAGAGCCATAAAGCTAAAGCCCCTTTCCCTCTCTAAAGGTTATTGCCTCCTTTTGATCTCCATTCCTGTAATACTATTTCTCTCTCTAAACTATTTACATGCACTCCTGGTTGAAAATCATTTTTTTATATATATTTGTGAGCGAAAGGTCAGACTGATTCTCCCAATGCTCCATTAGAGAACTATTTGCAGTCTGAGAGAGAGAGAGAGAGAGAGGGAGAGAGTAGGTCCTCGTTGTTCGTTGTTTACAACTCTTTATCCATGAATAAAGCGGGAGGAAGGTTAGAGAGAGAAGCTGCCAAGTTATGCAACGCGCTGATTAGAGCAAGCCGAGAGAACACCAATTTATCATGTTCATGGCACCCTTCTCTCGAGCAAACCCTTCACACTCTTGGTTGCAGGGCCACTCTCTCTCCTTCTCTTGTTGCCCGAGTCATCTCTCCTGGCCTCCTTCGTCACCACTCTCTTGCTCTAGGCTTCTTCAACTGGGCCTCTCAACAACCTGGGTTTTCTCATTCCTCTGAATCTTATCAATCTCTCTTCACCGCACTTTCTCTCTCTAAAAACTTTCGAACCATTGACTCCCTCTTCAAACACCTCAAGCTCCACAGAACCAACCTCAAGCCATCTGCTTATTCAGCCATTATCTCTGCACAATTGATTGCTGGGATGACCAGAGAAGCCTATTCTACATTTTCAGAAACTGAGCGTCTTGATTATCATATTGATCCCAAGGTGTGTAATTCTCTTCTTGCTGGGCTTTCCTCAGATGGGTTTCTCAATCTTGCTGAGAAGGTGTTTCAAAGGATGAGATATCATCGAATGGGTTTTACAAATTTGGGTTTTGGAGTTTTTGTAGGGAAATTTTCCGGGTTTTCTGATATGGAGAAGACGTTGGGTATATTAGACGAGGTTCATCCATTGTTGCAGAACTTGTATGGTTCTGTCGTGGCTTTTCTAATAGTTGATGGACTATGTCGAGCTCACAAAGCTCAAGATGCTTGGTGGATACTGGAAGAGTTGAGAATTAGAGGTCTCAAGCCTGATTTTATATCATATAGAGTCATTGCAGAAGCTTTTCGGAAAATGGGTTCCTTAGGAGAAGCTGAGAAGGTACTCAAGCAAAAGAGGAAGTTGGGTGTTGCTCCAAGAGCTCATGAATATGGAGAATTCATGCTCGAGTTGATCCAAGAGAGGAGAATTCAAGAAGCAAAGCAATTGGGAGAGGCCATTATCAATGGGAACTTTCCTATTGAAGATGATATTCTCAATTCATTGGTTTGTTCAGTTTCTTCGGTCGATCCAAGTGCATCCATGTTCTTCTGCAAATCCATGGTTTTGACTGGTCGCTTCCCCACACTTCCCACCTTGAGCACCATGAGTAAAAATCTTTGCAAGCATGGCAAAACAGAAGAAATGTGGAATGTTTTCCAAATGTTGGATTCAAGGGGCTATTTTTCTAACACAGAGAGCTACAGCGTTATGGTCTCCTTCTTATGTGAGGGGGGAAGAGTGAAGGAAGCTTATGAGGTTTTAAGACAGATGAAGAAAAATGGGCATGGCCCTGATGTGGTCCCATACAATTCTCTAATGGAGGCCTTGTGCAAAGAGGAGCTCGTGAGGCCTGCAAGGAGGCTATGGGATGAGATGTTTGGGGCCGGATGTCGCCCCGATTCGAGGACTTATAGTATACTTATTATCAAGTTTTTGGAGATGGGGCAAGTTGAAGAGGCTCAGCTCCTTTTCGATCACATGGTGGTGAGGGATGTTACACCAGACATTGATACATATAAGTCTTTGATTAAAGGATTATGCCATGAATCGAAAATTGATGAAGCTTATGAGGTGTTTTGTCGATCGCTGAAGCATGGTCTCGAGCTTGGTGCATCGACTTTGAACACATTGATACTTTCTCTCTGTGAGGCTGGTATGACTATTTGATGAACTTTGTTCCCCAATTCCTTTTTGATGGGTAGCGTTTTTTCTTCAAATTTCCTTCACTAAATATCAACTTTGTTTTTTATTAGCAGGGTTTTCAAACTCTTGTGTTTGCGTCATTTGAATCATTTAGATGTTGTTTGTTCTGAATTTTAGATATTATAGAGAGTGGTTTCATTGGATATGTTCTGATTCTTGGTCTTTTTATGTTGGAATTAGGGAATTGTAGAGTAGCTTCAAGAGTTATCATTAGCATTGCCCCCTCTGACATGGCAAGCTGTATTTCTCATGCTGTTTTGCTGAAAAGTTTAGTAGAAGGGGGAGAGCTGGAGATGGCCATTGATCACGTTAAATGGATAAGAGATCATTACTCATCGGCTGTGAAATCCATATTTGCTGAACTTATTGCATGCGTTTCTTCTTCTCCAAGACCAGGGCCTATTATAGGGTTTCTCCGTGAATTGCTAGGGAGGGGCCTAGTCCCTGATAGTGGCACATGGAGCAATCTATTACAGGATCCTTCTTTGGATGTCAGGTAGCCTACTTGGTTTCCATTTCATTCAAACTGGCCTTGGTTGAGCTGTTTCTTCTCACATGTCGATGCTGGGAGCAAATGTCCACATGTTTACAACCAGAAAAAACTTCGGAGCTCATCTAATCCTTCGATTTGGATAATCATGGTATCTTATTCTTTCCTTGTTGTTCCTGTTTGAGAATGTAGAACGGTTACCTAGTTGATGATCTGTAAATATTATCTTCTATTTTCCTGGCGTTCATGTTTGGGATCACCATCTGCGATCTGGTTGATTACTTGGGAAAGTTTCTTTCTATTTCAGGTACTTTTATGATCCAAGCAAACATTTATTTGGAACAGTTTTCCTGAATTTGCTACCTCAGCAAGTCAAATATCATTGACTAAGGAGACTCTTCCTTTGGAGGTTTAACAGATGATAGTTGGGTTGATTACGTGATGGGAGCAGTAGTCGGTGTGGGAGCTTAGTTTCCTTATAGAAAGATCACTATTTATGCAAGAGTTGGGCCCATCAAGGTATGTGTTGTGGAGTCGGGCCCATCAAGGTATGTGATGTGTGCATTTATGCATAGTATTCTTCAAAGTAATCTTGCGGCCCTTTAATGTACTTGCTGATGGACCAGCCAATATGACAAGTATGAGACAATATATGAGCTTGCAGATACCAATCATTGAGATCAGTGATCGTGTTTTCCAAATTGGTTGGGTTGAAGATGGCCCCTAACACACTATATGGGCAAGAGTTCTCATAAATATCTGATGGCCAGCAATATGCATCAAACCTGTATTCTTTGCATCTGGCTGGTTATTCCTTCTTATGTTAAATATGTGAATTATATCATATTTAATGAAACTCGTAGCTTTTCCTTCTTCCAGACATGGAAACTGTTATGAGTTCATATGTTATTAACAACAAAGTTCATTTATTTATCATGTTGTTGTGTGGTTATGGTCTTCAATGTACTGAAAGATAACTGAATGCAAGAGATAGTAGCGGGCAGTAAGGATAATTTTTCTTAGGTCCGAACTCTAGTGGAGATGATTTGCTACCTTTAGTGTGCTTTATCTTTCCACTTATTGTTTTTGTATGGAGATTGAGATATAGGATTTCTATGTGAAGCATATATATTGCACATGTAAATTGATACTGATTAAATTGTTACCAAATGACTGAATTAATTGATAATTTTTTTCTTTTTCTTTATTTTTTCCTGTAGGTATTATTTCTCTTATAAATTAGCTTTATCTTTCCACGTTTTGTCTTTGTATGGAGATCGACTTTCAGATATAGGATTTCTATATGAAGCATATATATTGCACATGTAAATTTACATGTAAATTGATACTGATTAAATTGTTACCAAATGTCTGAATTAATTGACAATTTTTTTTCTTTTTTCTTTATTTTTTCTTGTAGGTATTATTTCTCATAAAGAATTTATAAGAATGTTGACTCTGCAAAGACAAACATTTAGTTTGGCACATATTCCCGTAGCAGCATGGTATCCTTAGTTGAATGTTTATATGTGACTGAGTGACCATGTTTGCGTGCTTAGGAATGCATATGACAACCAAGATATATCACTCTGATAGGAAACCATGATTTCTAAAACTGTAACTGCTAGTTCTTTGGGAACTAGGAGAATCTGCTTTAAGCCACCAAAATAACTTGTAAAGATTCCCCTAGAGTGGTTGCCTGTTTTTCCAAATTTACACAACCATCATATTGGCTTCTGCTTTGGCACAACCATCAAACTTTCATTGTGCTTTTGAATCTTACCACCCTCGTTACTGGGGTTTAGGGAAATAATGTATTTTATTGTCTGACCACCCTCATTGCTTATGACACCCTATGATCTGCCGGCCATTTCCTTTGATAGTCTCATCAAAGTTTGACTTTGGAAGACCTATTGCTGTTGATGAAGGGGGGCGATCTTCTAAGGCTGGGGTCTTGAATGCCATGTTAGAATCTACAAGCCCTAGAATTATTCGGCTGTGACACCAACCTTCTATTTGTTTGCTCTGTTCTCTCCAAAGGGTGTATTCAATTCTATGTATACATCAGATGCAAGCATCTTCTTTAGAGGTTCTTGCACCCTAACAATAGATTCTGCTGAGAAATATGTCGTGGAAAATATTGTACGGATCCATTTCCCATCACTAAGAAAGAAAAATTAATATATGCTCATTGCAATCTATCTACCGTTAGTGAATCTTATAATTTTCTTGATACCTTGAATTGTAGCAGACAGGTATGTATATCAATTTTCCCTGAGCAACCATTTTTACTTTTCCAAACTCTCTATTCTTCTATCATAAAACTTATAGTGTGTGATGCCTAATGCGTATTGTCCAAAACAAATGTGGCCTTTCTTTATTCTCTCTCTCCTGATTTCTTATATGCTTGGATTGTGAGCAACCACTTGAAAATATATTTTCTTATATGTCACATTGTACTATTGCAACAAGCAGCTTACATGCTATTTGGAACTTTTACAGATGAAATATGTCAAACTTCTGTGGATTTCAGTTCCATAGGAACAAATAAATAAAAAATTGATGAATATCATCCTGTTCATATTGTTTCACCCATTGGATGCTAATACACAGCCCATCCTTTTCAAATAGTTTTTTGATGTTTTATAAGTTGTTCTACTTCTCTCACTTCCTCATCTAAGCACGGACAGATATCTTGTAACAAATTGGGACGTAACCTCATGATTAATACCTGTGATAGTGTGAACCATATTGTTAATCATATAAATCCATCAGTTTTTTTCAACGTAATAGACTTTACCAAAGTAGGAAATAGAAAAAGAAAAGTGTATGGAAAACTGTAAAAGTAAACCGGTTAGATCAAAGTATGTATCATAGGCATGCTGCATATCCATGCCCTCCACAAAAAACCTGCTTTCTCCACAACAATTTATTGAGATATGGGCATCTGCTTTCTTCACACAATCACACCTGTCTATTGTAAGAATTTTGACATTATGCATATAGAAATTGTTTCCAGTTTAGTTTTTCATGAGCAGACTGAGTCAGAAGAATCTCTTCAAATCACTTATTAATCTTCATCACGTTACCACATGGACTAGCATTTTACCACAGAATAGCAAAGAACTGATTTGTTTACTAAGACCATGATATGCAAGTAACATATTATTCTGGTTAACCTACTTGCCCTCGCTGACATTGGGTAGTGTTCAAGGGGCTGTTACCCTTTATTATTATTATGTTTTTCTTTTTTGGCTTTTAAAGCATATAAATCCAAAATATAATAAAGGAATTGCAAAAATTCTCTTCTTTTTTTTGTTGTGGGAGGGGTTTTGTGTGTTTCTACCTGTATACTAATACTCCGATAAAGAACACTGCTCCCTAACCACATAGAAATACAAATATTGGACAATTCATAACTGTTAGCGAAGTGGTTTTCAAAACAAGATTAGCTTGGAACCGTCTAATCCTCAAATTCTTAGTTTTGGAGGCCTGCTATATATTAAAGACCAATTGGTTAGCGATCATGTTTTACACTTCCCTTCTTTTTTTTCTTTTTTTTTCCTTTTTTTTCTTTTGGCGGTGGGGGGGAGGAGAGATCAGTGGGGATTACAGGCTCCTGCCCATTTTGGAAAGAGTCAATTTTTTTAAAGTGCTAGTGAAAATGGAGGCCGTGACCTTTTACTGGGGTTCATGTGGTGCTACCAACACGATCCCAGCCCCATTCTCAAATATGGTTTACACTTCTTTGAGTATTTATTTGGGTTACCATGCTATGCCTTCAAATGTTTTTTTTAATGAAGTTAACCTTTATGCCTTCAAATGTTTTTTTTAATGAACTTAACCTTTATGCCTTAAAATGTTTCTTTTTGCTTTTTGGCTAAGCTATGCCTTCAAATGGTTGAAAGTTATTCGTGGCCAATTTGCCATCTCTATAGTATGTGCAACGTAGCACTAGAAACTTCTTTTCACCTGCTAAAAGAATACTGTCATGTCTTGCTCGAATTCCTTGAGCCTCATATCTCCCAATGAACACCAACCAAGAGGAAATATGGCCGGTTTCAATGCAGGGGCCTGATGATTCCTTTTCACCTATCTGTTCCTTTAATTGATCCTATATTCTAGATTTTTCTTTGGTGCATTGAGTGACTCAAGAAAGTTCTAGATTTTTCTTTGGTGCATCAAGTGACTGAAGAAATGTTAGCCTTTCTAACTATTGGGTAGATATGTGTGCATGTTTCAGGCTATTTTCCTCCCAATGATAATAGAGTTTTAGACATTAGATGATTTCTGCACTGCTTCACCAGCGAGTCTATGTTCATTATGATTATCCAATTGAATATTGATAATTAGTCTTGGCAAAACCTTTGCTGATGGAACTAATAACTAAGATGCAGGAAGGAGCCTCCTGAAGAGTCCATCTATTGGAGTGCCTAAACTGCTTTATTATTTCTGCCAAATTGTTGTGTATGAATCAATGCTTAGCTTTATTACTTTTGTCAAGCTGTCATATTTGTATTAATCATTTTTCTTTTATGATGGAGCCAGGATTTCCTTTATTTGATGTCCAGAGTTAAGCAGCCAAAAAATGGAAAAGAAAGTGATTTCAGGAGTTGAAAGCTCGGTTTTGAAAATTTTATGTGGGAAGTATATCTAACCTCTTCTCTTTTGGCCTCGCACTCTGTCACAATTTCTCTCTCTAGAACCTCTGATGGGCTGTCGTGGAAATTCACAGCAGTCTACGGTCCCGACTGAGATGCTGCTAGACACCTTTTATGGGACAAAATTGACCAAGCTGCTTCCTGTACACCGGCTTCTTGGTGTTTGGGGGGAGACTCCAACATCACCAGATGGTCCTTCGAAATAAGCTCCTCGTCCAGAATCATGCCGGCCATGACAGATCTGATTACATAGCACGCCACGATCTCCTTGATATTCCGCTTCAAGGGGCGAGATTCACATGGTCCAATCATTCCTCTTCCTCCCCTTTTCTCTCTAAAATAGATCGTTTCTTCTGCCGCCCTGAATGGGACTTATGCTTCCCTGGAACTCACTCTCAGGTCCTCCCTAAAACCACTTCAGGCCATGAACCTTCCTCCTTGAAACCGCACCCACCTTAGGGGGCCCCGGACCATTTCGCTTCGAGCTTGCTTGGCTCGAAGAGTCTACCTTATCTGCCCTACTCCCTACCTGGTAGTCATCTTTTTCTTCCATAGTACAAGGTTGGGTGGGCTATAGACTCCAACAAAAACGTAAGCTTCTAAAAGACGCCTTCAAGACGTGGACTAAACTATTACCTGGGAATTTCCAAGACCATAAACATTCTCGTCTCCTCGATCCAGGACTTAGACTCATTGAGGAATCTCGTTCCCTTTCTCCCAATGAACTCCTGCATTCCCAATACAAGAGCGACTATCAGTGCACCATCATGAAGGAAGAAATATTTTGGGCGCAGTGATCTTGAGTCAAGTGGCTCAAGAAAGGTGATTTCAACACAGCATTCTTCCATAGAATTGCCAACTGCAGAGGAAGGGGTAATCTCATCTCCCAAATCCAATCCTAGGGAGTCACCATTGACCACCCTCCTTGTGTAGAAGAAACAATTATTCGATATTTCAAGAACCTCTTTAGTCCAGCCAGTCCTAGGGCCCAAATTTCCGACCTCTCTTTCATCTCTCTAACACCAGCTCAAGCGGCGGGACTTGAACTCCCCATTGAAGAAGCTGATATCCGTGCAGCGATAAATGAGCTGGGTTAGGAATTTCCTAGTGGTTGTCTCCGATCGATTTTGAGAGTTGCTGCATCCCAATCTCTTGGCCTTCTTCACCAAGTTTCATCCACTAGGCGATGAATGCCACTTTTATTGCTCTTATCCTCAAAGTTGATGGGGCTGATCTCAAAGACTTTAGACCCATTAGTCTAGTAAATAGTTCTTATAAGATTCTATCGAAAGTCCTCTCTACCAGGCTCAAAGCAGTCTTGGGTTCAGTTATATCTCCTAATCAAAGTGCATTCATCCAAAATCGCCAAATCTTTGACGGAGCTTTGGTAGCGCACGAATGCATCCATTCTATGACTTCCTCCAAAACTCCAAGTATCAAATTAGATTGGGAGAAGGCTTATGACCATGTGGATTGGGAGCTTCTCGATGAGGCCATAAGGA